CTGGTCTTTTCTCTCCAAGACTAGAGAGAGCCTTTCCACCCCCCTGTTCCTCCTTTTTCGCATCGAAACGCCGAGTTATCAAGGCTAATTTTTCTCCTTTGTCGCATCCCTCGGTGGCCAACCAGACCGGTTCGTTACTCGTGTTTAGCCAGCACTGTTTTTAATAACCTAATGGCTCTTACGCGGTACATTATGTCGGTAGGATCCCTCGAAACGCCCTCCCACCCACTCTTTGCAGCGTTTTTTTTTTCGTGTCTTCGCTCTTTTATTTGCGATTTTTTTCGTTGAAACGACAAAAATATCCGGCCCTTCTCCTTCCTGCTATCTTGCTCGCCTGCTTACTTGCTCGCTCGCGGCATGCGAAACTTTTGTCTGAGCAAAAAAGGGTGAACGGAACGTGTGGATGCTGGGAAAAGGGACTTTAAGGGGGAGGAGGAGGACGAGCTGAGTAAAGATGAAAAAAGGGAGAGTGGCTTTCCTCTGGAACCGAACAAAAATCTTTTACCGGTTCCACCCCCTTGTGCACTCTCTCTCGTTCGAACAGATCGGCCGAGGAAGAAACGATCGCTTAACTCTTCATTCTTCGCTTCGCGTTCTCATCGGGAAGAAATTCACCGTGCTCCCCGTTTCTCGCGGTGAAAAGCAACCAGTGAAACGCGGGGGGATGGGGGGCGAAGCTACTGAATCTCTCGCTGTAATTAGCCCCAAGAGGGTACAAACCGTGGGACCGAGTCGTTCGAACGTTTAAATCGATCGTTTTACGCCCCCGCGGTATTCTCGCGATTATTCTCGCGATTATTCCCGAAGTAATACCAAACTCGTTTGTCTTGATAGGGGGAAAAAAAAGGAAACAAGAGTGTCTCGATATGTACGAAAAAGAATCAGAGGATTGTCTTGAACAGTTTTCCCCGAGGAAAAGAAAATTGTCGAAAGAGGGAGAGGAGAAGAAGAGGTAAAGTGATTCAGTGATGCAAAATGGGGAGGAATCATCGCCAGAATTATTCCCATTGAAAACCTTCTGGTCCGAATAACTGTACGCCCCCCCCTCGCTGTAAAATAGCCTCGTTCGTTTGAAATTACTTGCCCTATTTTCCTTTGTCTTGTCTCACATTTTGC